GATCTAGAACTGATCGATTATTTGTGTAACCCAGCGTCAAAAACATATTTTATAGTTATATTAAAATAATCGAGACTTATATTTCATATTTTAAGAAAATAAACACCTTAAATAATTTGTATCAAAAGACATACTCAATTGTAATGCATTTAACGATCAACTTTGCCGGACCGATCATCTCATGACTAAGATGTAACCACAGCAGTTGTTTCCCCTTTCAACAGTACGAGTTTATCTATATCAATATAATTCATTGATTTTGGCCTATAATTATTTGTTTCTTTTTTTTAACTTAACTTCAATTATTTAAACATACTATTTGAGGCCAATTAAGAAACTCTTTTTTTTAAAAAAATATTACCACATTTAAACTTGAATGTTTTGTTGAAGTACCTAGATCTATGTATTTATATTTTTTGATTTCTTAAAGGGAGCAGACAAAATGATGAAGATAAAGATGGTGGGCACCAATCAACCTTATTAGGTGTTTTTTTCAAAAACAATAATCTTTTTTATTTTTCAATAATGATTTACATTTATGCATCTTAAAATATATTTGGTATTTTGGATAGGATGAGATCATCTCAAATTTATTTCATATTATCATTTTTAGGTATAAACTCAATATCACAGTTAATTATTTTCAGAATTAACAGTCAATACAAAGTATTAAAGAAATGTAGAATTATGTTTGTCTCATGTATATACTTTAAACCAAAGATTTTTTAAATTATTTACCATGTTTACTGAAAAAAACACATTTCTTTAATAATGCAACTGTTATATTATCATAGCAGATAAAGAGCCCCAATATGCATAGCTAGCTTAATTTTAAAGATAATTATTCAGCATTTCTTTTGATGATAAACTGGACATATGAAAAAATAAGGTATGTAATTTTTCTGTATCATTCTCCCATTACAAGGTGTACAGTGGTTTCTTTCTTTCACACAATCTAATTGGCTGCCTGAGAGTGGAAAGCTGTGTCGCTATTTTAATCAGACACCTTAAATTATTCAAATGTGTAATGTGTAAATTTTCAGAACTTGGTAAGTAAAGAATTTATGGATGATGAAGAAACAACCAACAAGAGGTCATCTTATAACATTTACCATTCACCTCATTTCTCAACATAAGCAATGTCAAATTTTAATTTCAATGCTTTTTACAAAAAATTCATATATGATCGGGTCACTAAAATATATATTTAGTATGAGTCAGGTTAAAATTTAATTACCTATGATCAGAAATTCTTAATTTCTAATCTGATAAAATAAGAAAAAAATAAAGTTTGGATGTAACTGTAGCAGTAAAATAACAACATAATGTTACAAGGGTATTAAAATAATGTAAATATTTGTATAACTATTTGTATAACTATTTGTATAACTATTGAAATGACTTGTGATTAATCTGCCACGATTAGATCTCGGCAAAGCCTTGTTCTAATTGTGGCATATTAATCACTTGTGTGTAGATTTTTCGGTAACAACTGAACACAGTGGTTAATCCTGGCTGCTGTAACTTAAGGATGGATGTTTACATCCCAAATCCCCTGAGGTGTTACTGTTGCCTTAAGTATGGCCATGGCTTAAAATCATGCTACGACCCAGCTGCCTGTCATCGATGTGGTGGAAAATGTGAGGATAGCAGACTATGTGACAAACCTCCTTCCTGAGTACACTGCTCTTGCAATCATCCCTCATCTTCCAAAGATTGCCCTACGTGGAAGCTACAATCGAATTTCATGTATGAAGCATGAGTGTAACACATCTTTTCTGGATGCAAAGAAAATTGTTCTTGCTCAAGAAAAGTCAGGCCCAAGTTATGCTGTTTCTGTTTTAAGGCCATCTCCTGTTATCATTTCAAAGACAGTTTCATGGAATTCAGTCGGTTGCCAGACTGAATACTTATGAGCAGTCGAGGTTAGGCCTCAACAAGAGAACTCTAGTTCACAAACAATCATTCAATCACAGGCTTCTTGTGATAAACATTCATCTTTATCTCAGAAACTATCATCATCTCTATCAGCTAACTCTAACTCAGAAACTAAAGTGAAACAAGTTGCAAAAAACAAACCCAAACCAAAAACAGAATCATCCAAAAAGTATCAAAGTGGCAGAGCCTCGAAAAGAGCAGATAACCAGGTCCAGCTTATTATTAAGTATGGATCCCTTGAGGATATGGAGGTGACTGACAACAGTAATCATCGTCATCGTAGGACACACAGCTTGTTGCATTATTGTCGACCAAAGCCCTGTTATACTTAACACCAACCTCCAAGCCGCTGCAGTGCGACTTACTTTGAAGGTTGTTTTTACTTTGTGCTCACTGTATATTCTGCCTTCATCAGCTCTTCAGCTGTCTGATCTTCAAGCTCTCTATGATCAACTCCCCAAACCTTGTATAATCATGGGTGATCTAAATGGCCACAACCCACTCTGGGGTGGTACTAACACTAACACTAAAGGTAATATACTTGAAGATTTCATCTCTAATACTGGCCTATGTATATTTAATGATGACTCAAGCACTTATCAGCATCCTACAACTGGGACCTACCTACTCTTCTCTTGATTTGTCACTAACTGATTCTGACCTTCTCAATGAATTTGTGGAAGTGACCATTTCCCAACTATCATTAAAACAAATCCATCTGATATTCCACCTTCAACGATACGGAATTTTACAAAGGCTAACTGGCCTTTATTTCAAACATTATGCACAAACAAAATAAATCCTGATTGTTGCAGTGATGTGGCTGATCCTATTCAGCTTTTTTCTGATGTTTTAAATGAAATTGCCAAGAATGTATTCCAAAGTACTCTACAAATCCACATGTTCGTAAACCATGGTTCAACACTGATTGTAAACAAGCTAGGAAAGCAAGGAAAAAGGCAGAAAAATATTTCTGAAACCACCCAACTGTCCATTACTTAAATAAATTGAAAATATTAAACGCAAAAGCTTGTCGTACATTTAATCAGAATAAACGCCAATCTTGGCGAAACTATTTCGAAAAACAAATCCAGAACACCTATGTCTAAGGTTTGGAATGTGGTGCAAAGGATTAAAGGTAAAGGTTCTAAATCTAGTGTTCACCATCTTAAGGATAGTGACACATTATTACCTGCTAAATCTGATTTAGCAAATAAATTAGGAGAAACTTCAGCTAAACATTCATCCTCATCGAATTATACCCCAAAATTTCAGAAAGTTAGAAAGAAGAAAGAAAGAAAAATAATTTTAATTCTGATAATGGTGAGGATTATAATGAAATCTTTTCCATTCATAAGTTGCATACCGCCTTATGGCAAGGTCATGATACTGCTACAGGTTCTGATGATATCCATTATCAATTACTTAAACATTTAGCTGATTACTGTTTAGAGACATTTTACTTTACTTGGTAATATCTGGACAACGGGTAATATCCCCTCATCATGGCGAAATGCTGTCATAATTCCAGTACCAAAACCTGGCCATGATCATACTGCAAATTATAGACCAATATCACTTACCAGAATGGTAAATAATAGACTTATATGGTATTCAGAAACAAATAATCTTTTAACAAATATTCAATGTGGATTAAGAAAAATAGAAGTACCATTGACCACTTGGTTAGACTTTCATTTGTAAAAAATGCTATCCTTAATAAACAACATACGGTATCAATATTCTTCGTTTTAGAGAAAGCGTATTAAACGACCTGGAAACATGGAATTTTAAGAGATCTTCAAGAAATGGGATTGATAGGGCATTTGCCTAATTTTGTATCTCATTTTTTAACAGATAGACATTTCCAAGATAGACACCCAAGTAGGTATCAATAAATTACATCAAATTAAACCAGCTTTCAGTTACTCGGCCTACTTGGGTTGTCAGTCCAGAGGTTGTAATGCATCGTATTGGCCACTTTATTTATTGAAAGGTGAGGATCCTCCATTTTGTATCCCTTGTTATGAGAGAATCACAGTCAAGCTTGTCAAGGTTCTTATTAATTGTATTAATTCCCATTTAATTATTGTTTGTTAAAAGAACTAGAATTATTTAATAAATTTTGAACCATATGTTTTGTAATTAATCAATGATCTTTTTAGATTTTGTAGAAGGAAATAAGTTAAGTTGGATTGTTAGTGGCTGTACCCTTGATTGGGGTTGAAGTAATGTAAAATGATTGTCCCCCAGAGAGGGTATGTAAGACCACGTCATTCAAAGTAATATTTTTTTGCCACATTTTTAACCGTAGAATATGTGTTCATTTAACTTGGCTAAATGTGACAATAATTGCCAAAACCTAAAGGGATGATGTAAATCCGGCTTGGGTCCATGCAGGTAGCAAAGGTACTGTAAGACCCCATGGACCCTAACATGTTGATCCACCTTCAGCTACTGGCGATCTATAGCCCTTTTTTATTATGTATTGTTACATATAATGATATCTTTTTATGGTTGTATGCTAATTTTAAATATTCATCTGTGATATCCTTACTGTCCATCGATGACAGGTTTTTATAGAATCTCAATATATGTATTCTCATCACAACATGGCTGAAATATTGCCGATGTGACGTTAAATATTAACTCACTCACTCTCTATGTGATTCGCTGAAATTGATGGTCTGTGTCATTATACAGGAAGTGCATATAACTTTCTTATTAATGTAGATACAGGCATGGAACTTTCGGTTTTATGTTTTCTTACATTAGAAATTAATGTGTGGGTATAGCATCTATCTTTATTTGTGGAAGGTGATATGTCCTCACATTAATTATAGATGTAGACAGCCTGCCTGCACCAAGTCTTCAAGAAGGATGGGCCGGGAATCAGTTAGTACATGTTTACCCATTTCTTTGTCATGTTCTCAGTAGCCATTGGAAAGTGTAAGAAATGTCCTGTGTTGAAAGCATTACAAGACATTTATCAGCCAGGATAAAAGCACAGCCATTTAATTCTGATGTTGTTGTTTATTTTGACATCCTTAACATAATCCCAGGGAAGCTTTCAACTGATGGTATTTACACCGTCTTAGATGAACTTAGTAAGCGAGGTAAGGAATATAAGTATGGAGAATAATTGACTGTGACTGTACAACCTCAGGCATGTTGGCTGTATGTTATCATTAGGGGTGTCATGTTACATGTAGCTGTTAATACATACTGCATTACTTCAGGCAGGATGTTTTGCTCAACAACAGGTTGTAGATATCAGCCAGTTTGTGTATAACATGCACAACTGGTTGATTTAGACTTGTTCTCATATATGGATCAGTATTATGTGTCATGCAGTAATGTGCACACCAGCAGCAAACATTCTGGGTTGTCGCAACAAGCAGTAGATTTGACTTTTTGTGCATCAATGCACAACTAAAACATGATTGTATGGGTTTATCACATATCATATTGTGAGGTGTAAACTGACGTTGCACTGATGCTCCAGTGAATCATGGCACCCCATGTTATCATCATTTATCACAATTTTGATATATTTCATTTAAAACCAGAAAGATTTGTATGAGGTGTCAAATGAGTAAGGGTGTAATGAGGTATCAAAGGATTAATTAAACCTCAGCATCTACTTATTCCAAAAGGCTTGAAGACATATATAATATTAATAAGTAATACATGACCTAATTATGTCACAATGGAATTACTTCTCTGCACATGGCACCAAAGTTACTATTACCAGTATGGTGAATCTTGATTCAACCTGTCTCCCAAACCAATTTAATCATTGTAGTGTCCTTTGTTTTCGTTAAAAAAAAGACCACATATGCAGAGTCACACATAAGGCAATGTATCTATGTATCCTCAAGAACAACTATGCTTATTAGAAAGCAACTATGTAACTTTTCATCACAAATCTTTTGAACAATATGTTTGTTTTGTGACCAATAGAATATTTTAACATTCATTTCCTTCTGTATATTCTATCAGTAAAATCTTCCTATGCTATGATATGTTACTATGGTTTTGTGAGTATATAGCACTCTGTAAAGAAGTTTGATTGTCTGCTATATTCTCTCTGTACAGGTCATATAGAATGGAAAGACAAAGCACGGAAACAGTGTTTAATAATGTGGAGGACACCAGAGGAGTGGGGAAAGCTTATCTATAGATGGGTAGGTGACGCCCATTTGTGTATGATGGCATGAAGTAATACCTTGTCCATGATGGTGAATAGATGGTATGGCACTCATGCTTTCTTAGTCTGTTTATATAATAAGTCTGGGATGAAAACATGGGGATGATAGTGTGTCAAATGCTTTCCCATACTAGATCAGAGCCTGGCCATGTTCACTGGTGTTGGCTGCAACATTCACCACCAACACAGACAGTGCAAGGTGGTAGGTTGAGCAACACAGACAGTGCAAGGTGGTAGGTTGAGCAACACAGACAGTGCAAGGTGGTAGGTTGAGCAACACAGACAGTGCAAGGTGGTAGGTTGAGCAACACAGACAGTGCAAGGTGGTAGGTTCAGCAACACAGACAGTGCAAGGTGGTAGGTTCAGCAACACAGACAGTGCAAGGTGGTAGGTTGAGCAACACAGACAGTGCAAGGTGGTAGGTTCAGCAACACAGACAGTGCAAGGTGGTAGGTTCAGCAACACAGACAGTGCAAGGTGGTAGGTTGAGCAACACAGACAGTGCAAGGTGGTAGGTTCAGCAACACAGACAGTGCAAGGTGGTAGGTTCAGCAATACAGACAGTGCAAGGTGGTAGGTTGAGCAACACAGACAGTGCAAGGTGGTAGGTTCAGCAACACAGACAGTGCAAGGTGGTAGGTTCAGCAACACAGACAGTGCAAGGTGGTAGGTATAGCAACACAGACAGTGCAAGATGGTGGTTATAGCAACACAGACAGTGCATGGTGGTAGGTGCAGCAACACAGACAGTGCAAGGTGGGAGTTATAGCAACACAGACAGTGCAAGGTGGGAGTTATAGCAACACAGACAGGTTGGTGGGAGTTAAAGCAACACAGACAGTGCAAGGTGGGAGTTATAGCAACACAGACAGTGCATGGTGGTAGGTGCAGCAACACAGACAGTGCATGGTGGGAGTTATAGCAACACAGACAGTGCGAGGTGGTGGTTATAGCAACACAGACAGGTTGGTGGGAGTTATAGCAACACAGACAGTGAATTATGGTGGCTGTAGAAACAGAGACAGTGCATGGTGGTAGGTGCAGCAACACAGACAGTGCATGGTGGGAGTTATAGCAACACAGACAGGTTGGTGGGAGTTATAGCAACACAGACAGTGCATGGTGGGAGTTATAGCAACACAGACAGGTTGGTGGGAGTTATAGCAACACAGACAGTGCAAGGTGGTAGGTGTAGCAACACAGACAGTGAATTATGGTGGCTGTAGCAACACAGACAGTGCATCATGGTAGGTGTAGCAACACAGACAGTGCATCATGGTAGGTGTAGCAACACAGACAGTGCATCATGGTAGGTGTAGCAACACAGACAGTGCATCATGGTAGGTGTAGCAATACAGACAGTGCAAGGTCGGAGTTATAGCAACACAGACAGTGCAAGGTGGTAGGTGTAGCAACACAGACAGTGCATCATGGTAGGTGTAGCAACACCGACAGTGCAAGGTCGGAGTTATAGCAACACAGACAGTGCAAGGAGGTGGTTATAGCAACACAGACAGGTTGGTGGGAGTTATAGCAACACAGACAGTGCAAGGTGGTAGGTGTAGCAACACAGACAGTGCAAGGTGGGAGTTATAGCAACACAGACAGTGCAAGGAGGTGGTTATAGCAACACAGACAGCGCATGGTGGTAGGTGCAGCAACACAGACAGTGCAAGGTGGGAGTTATAGCAACACAGACAGTGCAAGGTGGTAGGTGTAGCAACACAGACAGTGCAAGGTGGGAGTTATAGCAACACAGACAGTGCAAGGAGGTGGTTATAGCAACACAGACAGGTTGGTGGGAGTTATAGCAACACAGACAGTGAATTATGGTAGCTGTAGCAACACAGACAATGCATCATGGTAGTTGTAGCAACACAGACAGTGCAAGGAGGTGGTTATAGCAACACAGACAGCGCATGGTGGTAGGTGCAGCAACACAGACAGTGCAAGGTGGGAGTTATAGCAACACAGACAGTGCATGGTGGTAGGTGCAGCAACACAGACAGTGCAAGTGGGAGTTATAGCAACACAGACAGTGCAAGGAGGTGGTTATAGAAACACAGACAGGTTGGTTGGAGTTATAGCAACACAGACAGTGAATTATGGTAGCTGTAGCAACACAGACAGTGCAAGGTGGTAGGTGTAGAAACACAGACAGTGCAAGGTGGGAGTTATAGCAACACAGACAGTGCAAGGAGGTGGTTATAGCAACACAGACAGGTTGGTTGGAGTTATAGCAACACAGACAGTGAATTATGGTAGCTGTAGCAACACAGACAGTGCAAGGTGGTAGGTGTAGCAACACAGACAGTGCAAGGTGGTAGCTGTAGCAACACAGACAGTGCAAGGTGGTAGGTGTAGCAACACAGACAGTGCAAGGTGGTAGCTGTAGCAACACAGACAGTGCAAGGTGGTAGCTGTAGCAACACAGACAGTGCAAGGTGGTAGCTGAAGCAACACAGACAGAGCTTCATGGTAGGTGTAACAACACAGACAGAGCATCATGGTAGCTGTAGCAACACAGACAGTGCAAGGTGGTAGATTCAGCAACACAGACAGTGCATCATGGTAGCTGAAGCAACACAGACAGAGCATCATGGTAGGTGTAGCAACACAGACAGTGCAAGGTGGTAGGTGTAGCAACACAGACAGTGCAAGGTGGTAGGTGTAGCAACACAGACAGAGCATCATGGTAGGTGTAGAAACACAGACAGTGCAAGGTGGTAGCTGTAGCAACACAGACAGTGCAAGGTGGTAGCTGTAGCAACACAGACAGTGCAAGGTGGTAGCTGTAGCAACACAGACAGTGCAAGGTGGTAGCTGTAGCAACACAGACAGTGCAAGGTGGTAGGTGTAGCAACACAGACAGAGCATCATGGTAGGTGTAGCAACACAGACAGTGCAAGGTGGTAGCTGTAGCAACACAGACAGTGCAAGGTGGTAGCTGTAGCAACACAGACAGTGCAAGGTGGTAGCTGTAGCAACACAGACAGTGCAAGGTGGTAGCTGTAGCAACACAGACAGTGCAAAGTGGTAGCTGTAGCAACACAGACAGTGCAAGGTGGTAGCTGAAGCAACACAGACAGAGCTTCATTGTAGGTGTAGCAACACAGACAGTGCAAGGTGGTAGATTCAGCAACACAGACAGTGCATCATGGTAGGTGTAGCAACACAGACAGAGCATCATGGTAGGTGTAGCAACACAGACAGTGCAAGATGGTGGTTATAGCAACACAGACAGTGCATGGTGGTAGGTGCAGCAACACAGACAGTGCAAGGTGGGAGTTATAGCAACACAGACAGTGCAAGGTGGGAGTTATAGCAACACAGACAGGTTGGTGGGAGTTAAAGCAACACAGACAGTGCAAGGTGGGAGTTATAGCAACACAGACAGTGCATGGTGGTAGGTGCAGCAACACAGACAGTGCATGGTGGGAGTTATAGCAACACAGACAGTGCGAGGTGGGAGTTAAAGCAACACAGACAGTGCAAGGTGGTGGTTATAGCAACACAGACAGGTTGGTGGGAGTTATAGCAACACAGACAGTGAATTATGGTGGCTGTAGAAACAGAGACAGTGCATGGTGGTAGGTGCAGCAACACAGACAGTGCATGGTGGGAGTTATAGCAACACAGACAGGTTGGTGGGAGTTATAGCAACACAGACAGTGCATGGTGGGAGTTATAGCAACACAGACAGGTTGGTGGGAGTTATAGCAACACAGACAGTGCAAGGTGGTAGGTGTAGCAACACAGACAGTGAATTATGGTGGCTGTAGCAACACAGACAGTGCATCATGGTAGGTGTAGCAACACAGACAGTGCATCATGGTAGGTGTAGCAACACAGACAGTGCATCATGGTAGGTGTAGCAACACAGACAGTGCATCATGGTAGGTGTAGCAATACAGACAGTGCAAGGTCGGAGTTATAGCAACACAGACAGTGCAAGGTGGTAGGTGTAGCAACACAGACAGTGTACATGGTAGGTGTAGCAACACCGACAGTGCAAGGTCGGAGTTATAGCAACACAGACAGTGCAAGGAGGTGGTTATAGCAACACAGACAGGTTGGTGGGAGTTATAGCAACACAGACAGTGCAAGGTGGTAGGTGTAGCAACACAGACAGTGCAAGGTGGGAGTTATAGCAACACAGACAGTGCAAGGAGGTGGTTATAGCAACACAGACAGCGCATGGTGGTAGGTGCAGCAACACAGACAGTGCAAGGTGGGAGTTATAGCAACACAGACAGTGCAAGGTGGTAGGTGTAGCAACACAGACAGTGCAAGGTGGGAGTTATAGCAACACAGACAGTGCAAGGAGGTGGTTATAGCAACACAGACAGGTTGGTGGGAGTTATAGCAACACAGACAGTGAATTATGGTAGCTGTAGCAACACAGACAATGCATCATGGTAGTTGTAGCAACACAGACAGTGCAAGGAGGTGGTTATAGCAACACAGACAGCGCATGGTGGTAGGTGCAGCAACACAGACAGTGCAAGGTGGGAGTTATAGCAACACGGACAGCGCATGGTGGTAGGTGCAGCAACACAGACAGTGCAAGTGGGAGTTATAGCAACACAGACAGTGCAAGGAGGTGGTTATAGAAACACAGACAGGTTGGTTGGAGTTATAGCAACACAGACAGTGAATTATGGTAGCTGTAGCAACACAGACAGTGCAAGGTGGTAGGTGTAGAAACACAGACAGTGCAAGGTGGGAGTTATAGCAACACAGACAGTGCAAGGAGGTGGTTATAGCAACACAGACAGGTTGGTTGGAGTTATAGCAACACAGACAGTGAATTATGGTAGCTGTAGCAACACAGACAGTGCAAGGTGGTAGGTGTAGCAACACAGACAGTGCAAGGTGGTAGCTGTAGCAACACAGACAGTGCAAGGTGGTAGGTGTAGCAACACAGACAGTGCAAGGTGGTAGCTGTAGCAACACAGACAGTGCAAGGTGGTAGCTGTAGCAACACAGACAGTGCAAGGTGGTAGCTGAAGCAACACAGACAGAGCTTCATGGTAGGTGTAACAACACAGACAGAGCATCATGGTAGCTGTAGCAACACAGACAGTGCAAGGTGGTAGATTCAGCAACACAGACAGTGCATCATGGTAGCTGAAGCAACACAGACAGAGCATCATGGTAGGTGTAGCAACACAGACAGTGCAAGGTGGTAGGTGTAGCAACACAGACAGTGCAAGGTGGTAGGTGTAGCAACACAGACAGAGCATCATGGTAGGTGTAGAAACACAGACAGTGCAAGGTGGTAGCTGTAGCAACACAGACAGTGCAAGGTGGTAGCTGTAGCAACACAGACAGTGCAAGGTGGTAGCTGTAGCAACACAGACAGTGCAAGGTGGTAGCTGTAGCAACACAGACAGTGCAAGGTGGTAGGTGTAGCAACACAGACAGAGCATCATGGTAGGTGTAGCAACACAGACAGTGCAAGGTGGTAGCTGTAGCAACACAGACAGTGCAAGGTGGTAGCTGTAGCAACACAGACAGTGCAAGGTGGTAGCTGTAGCAACACAGACAGTGCAAGGTGGTAGCTGTAGCAACACAGACAGTGCAAAGTGGTAGCTGTAGCAACACAGACAGTGCAAGGTGGTAGCTGAAGCAACACAGACAGAGCTTCATTGTAGGTGTAGCAACACAGACAGTGCAAGGTGGTAGATTCAGCAACACAGACAGTGCATCATGGTAGGTGTAGCAACACAGACAGAGCATCATGGTAGGTGTAGCAACACAGACAGTGCAAGGTGGTAGCTGTAGCAACACAGACAGAGCATCATGGTAGGTGTAGCAACACAGACAGTGCAAGGTGGTAGCTGTAGCAACACAGACAGTGCAAGGTGGTAGCTGTAGCAACACAGACAGTGCAAGGTGGTAGCTGTAGCAACACAGACAGTGCAAGGTGGTAGCTGTAGCAACACAGACAGTGCAAGGTGGTAGCTGAAGCAACACAGACTTTGCATCATGGTAGCTGAAGCAACACAGACAGTGCAACGTGGTAGCTGTAGCAACACAGACAGTGCAAGGTGGTAGGTGTAGCAACACAGACAGTGCAAGGTGGTAGGTGTAGCAACACAGACAGTGCAAGGTGGTAGGTGTAGCAACACAGACAGAGCATCATGGTAGGTGTAGCAACACAGACAGTGCAAGGTGGTAGCTGTAGCAACACAGACAGTGCAAGGTGGTAGCTGTAGCAACACAGACAGTGCAAGGTGGTAGCTGTAGCAACACAGACAGTGCAAGGTGGTAGCTGTAGCAACACAGACAGTGCAAAGTGGTAGCTGTAGCAACACAGACAGTGCAAGGTGGTAGCTGTAGCAACACAGACAGTGCAAGGTGGTAGCTGTAGCAACACAGACAGAGCTTCATGGTCGGTGTAGCAACACAGACAGTGCAAGGTGGTAGCTGTAGCAACACAGACAGTGCATCATGGTTGGTGTAGCAACACAGACAGAGCATCATGGTAGGTGTAGCAACACAGACATTGCAAGGTGGTAGCTGTAGTAACACAGACAGTGCAAGGTGGTAGCTGTAGCAACACAGACAGTGCAAGGTGGTAGCTGTAGCAACACAGACAGTGCAAGGTGGTAGGTGTAGCAACACAGACAGAGCATCATGGTAGGTGTAGCAACACAGACAGTGCAAGGTGGTAGCTGTAGCAACACAGACAGTGCAAGGTGGTAGATTCAGCAACACAGACAGTGCATCATGGTAGCTGAAGCAACACAGACAGTGCAAGGTGGGAATTATAGCAACACAGACAGTGCAAGGTGGGAATTATAGCAACACAGACAGTGCAAAGAGGTGGTTATAGCAACACAGACAGTGACTGGTGGTAGTTATAGAAACAGAGAGTGCATGATCATAGTTTCTCAAATAATAATATTAATATATTTTTTGTCTTTTTTTCTATTTTGGCAGATATGCGACCGAAGTATGACAAATACAGTGTGCACATTTTATGAACTAAGTGAGGGTGATGATAGCTCATCACAAGGTAAGTAGATTCATCTCTCAATGGTGCTTAGAGGTCCTGTTTTAAACCTTAGTAGATACACTGTTAGTAAAACCAACCACAGCTTCGAATATGTGAGAGAACTCAGTGGATAGATTTACAGTCCTGTCACTTTGTTTTGCATTAGAGCATTACAGATGATTTATCATGATAGAGGAATGGATACATTTTTGGAAACAGGATTTTCTGTTTTCAAACTAGAGTCCTAGTACAGCTGCAAGTACCAGTAGGAACAACTGTTGTGCAAACTTTTGCAAAAGTGTGTCACATAGATAGTCTTGTATTATAACGTGGCTCTTGTAAAGTGAGGTATCCTACAGCCTTGTATAGTGACATGGCTCTTGTAAAGTGATGAATCATTTTGACAGCCTTGTACCATGATATGGCTCTTGTAAAGTGATGAATTATATAGACAGCCTTGTACCATGATATGGCTCTTGTAAAGTGTTGAATTATATAGACAGCCTTGTACCATGATATGGCTCTTGTAAAGTGTTGAATTATATAGACAGCCTTGTACCATGATATTGCTCTTGTAAAGTGTTGAATTATATAGACAGCCTTGTACCATGATATGGCTCTTGTAAAGTGTTGAATTATATAGACAGCCTTGTACCATGATATGGCTCTTGTAAAGTGTTGAATTATATAGACAGCCTTGTACCATGATATGGCTCTTGTAAAGTGTTGAATTATATAGACAGCCTCGTACCATGATATGGCTCTTGTAAAGTGATGAATCGCCTTGTACCATGATATGGCTCTTTTACCATGATATGGCTCTTGTAAAGTGATGAATCATATTGACAGCCTTGTACAGAGCTCCAGATAAGCTGCGTATCTGCGTGAAATACGCATCAGAAATGCAGAAATACGCAGTAAAATATAATCCAAGCGTATCAAATACGCAACGAACATTACAGATACGCTACAAAAATAAAATTTGTGCGTATCATCAAAATATTGTGAAGTAACCCTGCGTATTCGATTAGCAAATCAGCAACTTATTTTGAAATTATAAACAGGCATTCTGACAACCTTGCCAAACTCCACGTTGACAGTTACATCATGATCATTTGCCATCACACTTTCGTGTGGAAGTATCGTGGTATTTTTTAGTCCTATAAAGCTCTCAAACCCACACGACACCAGTTTGCAGGGACTAGATGAATAGTGTTTTTAAATATTTAACTGAAATACCCACATGTGTAAAAACTAGTGGGTAACAGAAATTTGAATACGCAGATAGAATTACTGATACCCAATGATTTTAAAATGCATGGGTAAAATACCTACAACACCAAAAGCTTATCTGGAGCTCTGCTTGTACCATGATATGGCTCTTGTAAAGTGATGAATCATATTGACAACATTGTATTATGATATGGCTTTTGCAAAGTGATGTATATACATGCTGTAGTATAATGTTTACAATAAAAGCCTATATAATTACATGTATATTTCCAGTTTAAGTCTGCAATCATTATTGATTGAATGTATTTCTATCTGGCCGCAGAGTTCCATGGTTTGGAGAACTGGTTGCTACTACGGGCGCTGAAGACCCTACAAAGTCAAGGCAAGGCAGAGCTTATTGATGGCAGTGAGGGGGTCAAGTTCTTTTAGAGCTTGCCTCACAAGGCTCAACAGCAACACAGCATTCTTCAAGCAATGTTGATAATAACTTGATAGGAACATAGATGTCGGGCTATGTCCCTTTCTACACAAGTTGACAGTTAAGACATGTGTACTAATTGACCTATGAACAAGTACTTTTGCTTACATGATCCCACTGTGTTGATCATCAAGTCCTAGCATGCTTCATGGTACAAGTTGTAGTGATACAGACTGTGCCTGTGGCTACAACAGAGCTGGATGTGGGGAAACAGTGAGTTTGCTTCATAACATCATGCCTAACAATGATGACTTTGCATTCTAATGAAAGCTCTGAAACCAAGGTCATTAGACAACTGTCTCATTGCAGTACACTGTTGTAAACCTGTTTGATATTGCTTATCTAATTTGAACACCAGCATTTGTCCAGTTGTGTCACACTTAAATCTTGTGAGATTTGTTAGTTTATTTGAGATATTATTTCAGTTCCTGTAAACAACTGCCTACAGATAACCATCTACTGTACACCAGTTGGTAGGATCATAAGGTCTCCTTTCCTTTCAAATGATATTTATTATGTAAAACTAAAAGAGAATGCCCCTTGGTTCAAGCAATGGCTGTTGTTGTCACAAGCAGATGGCCAAGGGAGAACATGCTGCCAGGTGTTCAGGGCCTACACCATGTAGCAGCATGTCATGTTGTGGAGTGGGGATAGGGTAGACTATCCTCCTTCAGGGCCTACACCATGTAGCAGCATGTCATGTTGTGGAGTGGGGATAGGGTAGACTATCCTCCTTCAGGGCCTACACCATGTAGCAGCATGTCATGTTGTGGAGTGGGGATAGGGTAGACTATCCTCCTTCAGGGCCTACACCATGTAGCAGCATGTAATGTTGTGGAGTGAGGATAGGGTAGACTATCCTCCTTCAGGGCCTACACCATGTAGCAGCATGTCATGTTGTGGAGTGGGGATAGGGTAGACTATCCTCCTTCAGGGCCTACACCATGTAGCAGCAGGGGTAAACTATCCTCCTTCAGGGCCTACACCATGTAGCAGCAGGGGTAAACTATCCTCCTTCAGGGCCTACACCATGTAGCAGCAGGGGTAAACTATCCTCCTTCATGACCTGCTGTGAGGGAGCGGCCAGCTCTAGCCACCTTGCTTCATGTCACCACATGGAATGCATGTGTTGCATTGTACAGGAGGTTTAAGGGCCAAGTCCATTATGTAATGCAACCAACTCACATCTGTATTCTTGTGTATGTGCCCTTGTGTAACAACAACAAAATCTGAAACAATTTGGGGTATCTTTGAATTTGGAAAACAGGAACATGAAAATGTAACAAAGATTTGTTAATTGTTATAATAGAGACTAACTTTAACCTGTGTAACGAAGAATACACAGTGCTGTGGTAGTTCTTAACACTCTCCAACACTTGTGTGTACAGAAATACAACAGGAGTTACCTCCCCTCTTACCAACTGGGCTCACTGGCAACAGGAGACTGCGGTGTTGTGTTATGTTCAATTACTTGATCTAGGCTGCCCACTGTTAAGAGAGGATAGTACTTAAACATGTATAAGTCATAGGTCATAATGGACATGTGACAGTTCAGTACTGTAATAAACTTAAAGTCTTCTGCTAGCAAAAAAAATGTGAGGGTAAGCCAAACATTGCTTATCGCTGTGGTAGTATCTCTCTCTCATGCCATTGTACTGTTTCAATGTTACTTATGACACGGCTAAGTCTCCCAGTTTGCATGTCATACACTTGGGGTACTCAGCCCTATCATATGTACCTGTATTGTTTGCACAAAATCAGGATGAAAGGGAATTCACATGATCCAGTCACAATATCTTATTTGACAGGGGTCTTTATCTGTGTTGATAGGGTTACAATTTCTCTTCTGCATCATGTCAAAAGTCCAATCAATGAATTATTTGACACATTTGTGTTCTCAAAAATCCGATGCAAAGTTTCACATACCCGGTAGTCTGGTTATGAGTCAACGCAAAGGCTGCAAGAGAATGACAAGGTATTTTGTTGGGCAATGCCTTTGTTGAATGTTTTATGAATATTAAAACATTATCTTTATTTGAAGCCGTAACTAAATTATCACAACAAGAAAGTGCTGCTATGCATATTTGTGAGAGTTGTGACACTTGGTTCTCATTCTGTTTGAACGATATCCAAGTGCTGTTATACAAACTTGTGTTGTCAAAATACCAGCATGTTAAGATGTATCATCTTAGTAATATCATATTATCTTGAAAAATGTACAAGTATATTTTAAGAGTATATGAAATGAACTATTGCAATAAAGGTTTAATTCAAACAACACGTTGAAGTTGTTGAAGAAAATTTGTAAGTTAAATTATTTTGGAAATCAAACATATCTTCATGGAGAATTTTGAACTCTTTAATTATTGCTATATGTATCTCTGCAGATAAGTGTGTGCTCCATGTGCTATCCTCAAAGGAGACAATTAGTTCCATCCAATCAGATGTATTGTCTTGCACAGATCTCAGTAACAAATCAGATGTTATCAACTTAGGGCGGTCTCAGTAACCAATCAAATGTACCATCTTAGAAGCGTCTTGGTAACCCAGCAAATGGCTCATCATAGAGAAATCTCAATAAGCAATCAGATGTAACATCTTATAGAAATCTCAATAAGCAATCAGATGTAACATCTTATAGAAATCTCAATGAGCAATCAGATGTAACATCTTATTTCTAAGAAATCTCAATAAGCAATCAGATGTAACATCTTAAAGCAATCTCAATAACCAATCATATACTCACACGCAAGAGAAACACAAGTGGTTTTAAGCAAATAGGTAACAAACACGGAACCATAAATTGATACGAGTTTTAGCATGTAGTGAAGCCTGATAGTGCAATAAATTTTTTTGGTTGCATTTTGGAAGCCCCGAGTAAAAACGCAACATAAAAAACGAATCGCCAAAACGCACCATTTCAATGCCACGCTTAACTCAAATTCAGAGAAACCAGGCTATCGGACGTTTGGAAGCTGGAGAGTCTGTCCAAGGTGTTGCCCGTCATTTCAACATTTATTGTAAGTTTATCATTTATGTTAAAATGTTGTTTATGCAGAGACAGTACGCACATGCCCATCTATTTATAGCATTTATATACATCACCTCCGGTTTCCCACACTGCGCATGTGTGACAGTAATCCTTTGTCTCTGCCTAGCTTGCACTTTTGCTTCATACTTTGTCAGCGCACGTTTTATATCAATTTTTCCTCTAATCGGAACTTTAAAGTGGCCAACACGATGTCATCATCTCAAACTAACTGCCTGGGGTTTTGCTGAGCTATGACAAACTGACACTTGGTGATTAGACGAACTTTGAGCTTTGACTGGAAACATGAATCAACGAGGAACACGCTTGAGGTCACGATCAACAAGACGGGGTCAAGTGCGCAAACTGATCTACCAGATGATGACTTGCAACAACCCACGCAGTTCTTTCTTCAAGTTTGGGAAGAGAAAGTAGTCGCTTGGTGCCAGGTCTGGTGAGTAAGGTGGATGAGGCAATACTTTGAACCCGTTCCGCTTCACTGCAGCAACCGCAAGTCGACAGGTGTATTGTCTTGCACAGATCTCAGTAACCAATCAGATGTTATCAACTTAGGGCGGTCTCAGTAACCAATCAAATGTACCATCTTAGAAGCATCTTGGTAACCCAGCAAATGGCTCATCATAGAGAAATCTCAATAAGCAATCAGATGTAACATCTTATAGAAATCTCAATGAGCAATCAGATGTAACATCTTATTTCTAAGAAATCTCAATAAGCAATCAGATGTAACATCTTAAAGCAATCTCAATAACCAATCATATACTCACACGCAAGAGAAACACAAGTGGTTTTAAGCAAATAGGTAACAAACACGGAACCATAAATTGATACGAGTTTTAGCATGTAGTGAAGCCTGATAGTGCAATAAATTTTTTTGGTTGCATTTTGGAAGCCCCGAGTAAAAACGCAACATAAAAAACGAATCGCCAAAACGCACCATTTCAATGCCACGCTTAACTCAAATTCAGAGAAACCAGGCTATCGGACGTTTGGAAGCTGGAGAGTCTGTCCAAGGTGTTGCCCGTCATTTCAACATTTATTGTAAGTTTATCATTTATGTTAAAATGTTGTTTATGCAGAGACAGTACGCACATGCCCATCTATTTATAGCATTTATATACATCACCTCCGGTTTCCCACACTGCGCATGTGTGACAGTAATCCTTTGTCTCTGCCTAGCTTGCACTTTTGCTTCATACTTTGTCAGCGCACGTTTTATATCAATTTTTCCTCTAATCGGAACTTTAAAGTGGCCAACACGATGTCATCATCTCAAACTAACTGCCTGGGGTTTTGCTGAGCTATGACAAACTGACACTTGGTGATTAGACGAACTTTGAGCTTTGACTGGAAACATGAATCAACGAGGAACACGCTTGAGGTCACGATCAACAAGACGGGGTCAAGTGCGCAAACTGATCTACCAGATGATGACTTGCAACAACCCACGCAGTTCTTTCTTCAAGTTTGGGAAGAGAAAGTAGTCGCTTGGTGCCAGGTCTGGTGAGTAAGGTGGATGAGGCAATACTTTGAACCCGTTCCGCTTCACTGCAGCAACCGCAAGTCGACAGGTGTGCACTCTGGCATTATCATGTTGGAGCAGCACACCTTTTGTGATCTTTCCACGACGTTTGGCAAGAATAGCAGTCGGCAAACGGTCCAGGAGATCAGAGTAGTAGTCTCCAGTAATAGTCTGGCCACGTGGCAAGTAGTCAATGAGCAAGACCCCTTCGGTATCCCAAAAGATGGTTGCCATGACTTTGAGTCTTAAAATTTTTGGGACAGGGTGAAGCAAAACCAGTCTGGTGAGTAAGGTGGATGAGGCAATACTTTGAACCCGTTCCGCTTCACTGCAGCGACCGCAAGTCGACAGGTGTATTGTCTTGCACAGATCTCAGTAACCAATCAGATGTTATCAACTTAGGGCGGTCTCAGTAACCAATCAAATGTACCATCTTAGAAGCATCTTGGTAACCCAGCAAATGGCTCATCATAGAGAAATCTCAATAAGCAATCAGATGTAACATCTTATAGAAATCTCAATAAGCAATCAGATGTAACATCTTATAGAAATCTCAATGAGCAATCAGATGTAACATCTTATAGAAATCTCAATAAGCAATCAGATGTAACATCTTAAAGCAATCTCAATAACCAATCATATACTCAAAATTTTTGGGACAGGGTGAAGCAAAACCAGTCCACTGCTTACTCTGTTCTTTGGTTTCTGGGTCATAGTGGTGTACCCAGGTTTCATCACCAGTAACAATTCTCTCCATAAAGTTGTCTGCATCCTGACTGCATTGCGTTAAAAGTGCCTGGCACATTGGCGCATGTACAGCCTTCTGATCATCACTCAGACATTTCGGGACCCATCGGGCAGACAGCTTCCTCATACCCAGACGATCATGCAAAATGGTATGGACACTTCCCTCTGAAATGTCCAAGGCCTTGGCCATTTCTGACACCTTCATTCGCCTGTTTTTGACAACCAGTTGTCTCACAGCTTCACTGGTTTGGTCATTGGTCACCTCTACAGGCCTGCCGGGGCATGGCTCATCTTCCAGGTTCACCCGACCCCTCTTAAATTCTGCAACGCAGAATTTGACCTGTGCATACGAAGGTGCACTGTCACCATAAACATCTGACAATTCATCATGTATCTCCTTTCCCGGTTTCCCTTTTAAGTAGAGGTACCTAATAACAGCCCTGTATTCAACCATTGACGAAAATTTGGCAGAATCTTCCCTTGCCATCTTTATAGATCATGTGTGTGACTTCAAATACAATTTCCTCAGTGAAACTTTGTCTATGCACGTGACATACATTGGTGCACAGCACCTGACAAGCATGCAACCGTTAAGATCTGATAAATAGCTGAGGCTGGTTATATATTGAATGGCCCTCGTAAGTCAAAATTACTAAATCTCAGTATCCAGACACCAAACATGACCAGAAAAGATCTAGTACGCTTGTTAGAGGCCAATGGAAATCGTAGGATACCATCTTCGACAGTTATGAGTGACGAATGTCAAAATTCAGATGGGACTACTTTTCCTCCGCCAGAGAGACCAATTGGACCCTTTTCCAATATGGCGGCGCCCACGATCATTTCCGGCGAACGATTGTCAAGTTCATCTCCCCTGTCTCAAGTGCCTTGTACTTTACCGGAGAATGCTGCTACACTACAAAATCAAATCCAGGCTTTTCCAACGAACAGTCCAATCTCTGTCTCGACAAATTGCGGAAAAACCCAGGTAGATCAAGTGAACAGACATCCACTTTCTCAGCAAAAGAGACAACCAGACATCCCAACACGCTTTTCGGTAAGCATTCACTCAGAATTGCTTCTTATGGTTTATCCAATGTAGTCTGTATCTCATCTGCACTCAGAACTAAGATTCAGCAGGGGAAGTATGTCAACATCGCCTTATTGACATTGCCTGAACATGAGTTGTTAAACGTTCGCACCATAATGGATGGAGAAGGGGATGAAATTCTAATAAAAGGGGGATTAGATCAACGTTTAACTCAACCCTTGACCATTGGAGACTTTGTTTCAATCGTTCACAAAATACATTAACATTATGTGCGAAATGGCTGATTGTGGAGAAGAACTACACAAATATATGGCTGACATAGTCGACATTGCCAATCAAAATGAGGGTTCTTTGTTCTATGACTACCATCAAGCCTTCTTTCAAAGAGCAGCTACCCTCCTCGAAACATACAACACACCGGTCTATTGGGGCATCAAGGACAAAAGCCTTCTCGATTCTGTAGCAGCCAACAGGAAAGCGAGACAGTGCAGTGTGTGTGGCAGCTTTTCTCACAACACAGACTTTTGTCCTAGACGGGGCAGGACAACGTTTCCAAAGAATGCTCATCCATCCACAGACTGGCACGGTAGACAGCGCGTCCAGTTCAAACTGAAAGAAATATGCAATAATTTTAATGACGAAAAGGGATGCAATCGCTTTGCATGCTATTTTTTCGTTTGTGCCTCAATTGCCATGCCCCACACCAAGCCTTCAGATGCCAGAAAAGAGCTTCTGTATCTCAGAGTGAGGGCAGTCAAGAGAAGTCCGATAAATAGGCATGACCTTCTGACCCCCTGCTGCCACAGTTTCAGAGTGTAACTCCTCCTATCAATGTTCAACAGCTCCAAAAAGAACTACATAATCATCCAGAAAAAATATTTGTAAAAACACTCATTCAGGGATTTTCTCATGGCTTCGATACAGGCATATCT